ATCATACTGTTTTTTTTTTTTTTTTTTTTTTTTTGCTTTTGTCATTGGGCTGCGGCAAGGCGCTTTTAGTAAACTGTCACATACTCTAACTTGACAATTTACTCCAATGTATAAAGCCTTGAGCAGAGCCTGGTACTGCAGTCTCTGGCTGTGTCAAATAAGGAGTAGCATATTATGCAATAATGCAATATGCCGTCAGATTAGTCTCAGAGTGCAGACACTGTTAGGCAGTGACTGACAAGAGGCCTGATAATCGTGATATCTAGGCTACAAGCTTTTTCGGCAAGATGGACACTACTTGAGCGACTGTTACACTGTAGCCCTTTTTTGAAATATAATTTAAAAAAATAACTTTTAGTTTAAGAATCATCATTATGAGTATCAGGCCATGATTCACACGAAATAGATCATATGGTCATGTATACAGTGCGTCCAGGAAAAGAACGAAACGGAGAATTATCGATATTTTATCATAACTTAATCACAATTGTAATTAATGAATAGCACATATTTGTAAAGCTTAGATTCTCCTCTTTCATTTGATGCAACTCATATAATGCATATCTCACGCATGAGTGCTTAAAATCAATTTGAAGGAAGGATACCAAAAAGTCATTTGGCGGACGGTATCTGAATTTCAAAGGGAAAATCACATTTCTAGAAATTCCATTTTCTGCCCTTTCATATGACACCTCAATCAGGAAGAATGAGCTAAGAATAACAAAGTTCGGTTTACTTAAAGTAATTGCGTTGATAATCAGCCATGCATGAAGTCTTCCGTTTATGGCTGATCTTCAACGAAACGGAGTTGAGTCTTTTGTCAATTATGTTTGCTGCTACGGCAGGCAGCCAGTTAAAACAAATTCGGAAATACAAGCATTAGTTTAAGCAAACAGAGCTTTGTTATTCCTAGCTCATTCTTCCTAGCACATTGCCGTAGCAACAAACATAATTTTGCACAGAATGAGAATTTATCACTTGAAATTATTTTAAACCTATATAACTAGCGATTAACATAAATACATTTATAAGGCAGTTGGAACTGAAATTCTCTTAGTTTATTATCTAGTGTGCTGATTCTCGGACGGACAAAAACCTTTCAATTTCTTTAATCGACAGATTATGATGATTATAAATTATGAAAATTAAAGGGGAAGTCAGGCAATTTGGGTACGCAGGCCCTGTACAAATTCTTTGAACAGACTGATTCAAATTGGATAGTTTTCTTTGTAAACATAAATTCTGTTTTTAGACTATCAAATGAAATTTGCCTCTTCCTTAAATCTATTTTCCTTTCTACAGGTGTATCAACGTAGATTTCTTTAAGAATTGATATTTCCTCTGCTTCTAGTCCCATACATCTGAAATAAGTGTCGGACTTTGATAATCCTTTTCCATCTCTAATATGATACAACCTGTCAGTATTTTGTAAGAAAAGGCTTTCATTAAAGTATGTTTTTATTTTTAAAAAAGTAGTTTCCTTTATTAGTTGTAACGTTTTTAATGAACTGATTCATATCGAGCCAAACGTTTAACAATTCCTGGTAGTATTTTGGTATTTGTATATCAATCATGTCAGGTAAATAGTTACAACAAAAAGAATTAGTTTTCTTTAAATGGTCTCATTAAGTATTTTTTCCATTTTACTTTCTGGTCCCAGTTACAAGTCTTTTAATCCACATCCACTTTTGTACATTCACAAAAAGTTAGAAGTTAAGCATGTTTAACCCTCCTTGCTTGTAGTCAAGATACCACGTGCTTTTTTTTATTTTGTCTTTTTTTATCTCGCCATAGAAAATTAAAGCAAATCTCATCAATTTCTTTTAAGACCCATTTAGGTACAGGAATCAGGGAGCTTACATAAATTAGTTTTGAATAGGCGTATGTTTTCAATAAGTGATTTTTTTCTCCAATTAAAGCAGGATCTCTTTGTTTCCATCAATATAAAAATGTCTTTATTTTCAGTGCTCAAAATTTTCTTATAATTCATCTCTTCAGCAACGATGGGATCAAATGTGAAGTATATACCCAACATTTTTAAATTGTTTACCTTCTTTCCCTATGTAAACGTATTCGCTTAGCCGACAGAAGAGCTTAAGTACAAAATTAATGTTTTGTTTCCATTCATCTTTAGCCCTGATATTTTCCTGAAACTTTCTAAAATTATCTCCAGTCTATAAATTGAGTTTATATCTCGTACACAAATTGTCATGTCATATAGGATTTGTTTTTATTTCTATTTGGCCAAAACAAATACCTTTTACCAACTTATAATTTCTGATGTAGTGATTTAAGCTTTCGTTACATAATACAAATAAATATGGAGACAGTAGATCTCCTTGTCTTACACCTCTTTGTACTTTAAAATAACCATTCGATTTATAAAAACACAACTTTGAGCATTGGTAAGTAAAATTGCAGAACATTGGTCCCAACTCAAATGGAATCGAAGGATTTTTCGAAGTCTGTTGCCAATAAGTAGCCTGGTTTATCAGAACAAGTAGCATGTCAAATCATATCATTGATTAATCTGATTGCATCACCGATGTTTCTATCATTTGAATATCCTACTTGATCGATTGACACAATTTTATTCAAAACTTTGTTCATTCTTTTGGAAAGTACCTTGGTGAGAATCTCATAATATACATTAAGTAAGGTCAATAGTTACTAATAAATTTGGTGTTTTTACATCCGTATGTATAAGTGTAATGATTGTTTGATTTTGAGAAGGAGATAATATTCCTCGAATTTCATGGAATCATTGAATGCATTAGGAACTAACTCACCAACTACCTGCCACAATGTAGAGTTAAAATCTACATTGAATTCACCATTTCCCGGAGATTTATTCAACTGCATTTCTTTTAAAGTTTCAATACAATCTCCATGGTAAAACATCGATAATTGTCGGTTTTGTTTTTTCTTGGACGCACTGTATAAACATTTTCTTTTTGCCGTCAGTTCTTACCATTTTTATGAATCCTCAGTCATGGAGTCCTTCACATCAGGATGATGATGCGCGATGGAACACTGATCTCCGAAGTGTGACTATTCTCACGTTTGGATTCAGTACATAAGTTACCTAGGTTGCGAAAACAAAACAACGTTCGCACTACGTTTTGCGTCGCGTAGGCACAGGTTACCTGCACGGTCTGCACCGGGGGTCTGCACCCCTTCATGTAAAGGAAAGGTGGGAAGACGCAGGAGTAGCTAACCCGTTGACTACTGAATTTATTTCCGTGCCAAAGGCTTAACACTGAGGCCACCATGTTCCAGGAGGGAATGGGTTAAGACCACCTTCACCTCTCCATGTCACCCCCGCCCCCCGCCCCCTCACGATGGCCTTAATTGCAAGTTCTCTCACAGTTCAGTGTAAGACGTTGTTTCTACCCCCCCCCCCCCCCCCCCCACCACAGTGCCCCCTAAATTCATGGGCCCATGCAACGCCATTGCAGTGTTGCATAGCAAGTACATGCGTGTACACGCGGAATGTATGAAACCCTTTTCTGAGTTTAGCATTGGCTTCATGGAGACGAAAGTAATATGACCTAGATTCAGCTAGACATCGTTTTGCAAACAATGAAATATTTAATGAGGTTTTAAATGATGTTGTTTACCTTTCGAAACGTGACATCGGGCTTCAAATAAAATTAATGAGTATTGCTTCCACACCATAGCATTCTGTAAGGGACTTGGTACCATTGTTCAGATGAGAGAAAATGATGCTATTCAATGCTAGATGTAAAATTAAAGATAATCTAAAAGTTCGAGTGAAAATGGAAAAACTGATCTGAGTGATCAATTCCTGAATTCCCCCAAATATATTATTATCAGTTTGATCAAATTTGAGGCGAATGTAAATCGTCACAAAGCAATTAATTGGCTCTATATACAATTCATATATTTTAAAAAACTTCTGTTTTATGTCCATGGAAAAGCTAGATTCCAGAATTAATGATGATTTCTAAGAAAAATCATTATCATGTTCGGAATCTCCGTCAGAAACTATTCTAAATGTCCTATTTTCATTTTTTTTTTAGCCCGTTTTGGTTAGAGTGGCCCTTTAAATGTTTACAAGCCGAAGGCGCCACTCCTTAAATTACAACGTAACGTTGCAGTAAACTTAAGCCGCCATAGTAAAGAGCACACAGAGAGCATTTCCCGATGTTGCTCCCCATTATTTCTTGCAATACCCGCACTAGTCAATATATAGGGCATTTTCGCAATGTAATCAAATTTAATGCAAGAGTCATTGAGTGCTTCATTACAAATTATTTCATCCACCTGTTACGAATAATTGTATTTCAATATTCAGAATGCGAATTCCATGTATTATACGTGTGGTTAGGTACGCAGGATTTGTTCAAGGGGGGGGGGGGGCTAAAATCGGGTCCAAATTTCGCAACGACTCAGCCAGCCGCTGAATAAGCAGGGGGGGGGGGGGGGGGTAAGAGGATACTTTTTTTTGGGGGGGGGGGGGGTCTCGAAATTTGACAATTTGACATTTTGTTCCGTTGAGGGGGGGGGGGGTAAGGTCACTTTTTTTAGGCCAGCCATTGGCATACATTTTTTTTTTTTTTTTGAAATAAAAAATTAAAACAAAATCAAAAGGGGGGAGGGGGGTTTTCCAAAAAAAACGTACAGAAAACATACACATAAAAAAAACCAACGCTAACAACGCAGAAGGTAGTAACCCGAAGGGCGACATTTTCTTGGGAGAATTATTTTAGGCCGAAAATGTATATAGACCTTTTACGGACATGGCGCGCGCAATGTTTTTGAGGCGCGCGTTACTTAGTCTTATTTATTAGATTTAATTTGTTTTTGTTTTGTTCTTTCGAATCTGTCGAGAGAAAAAAAGTTATATTAATGAAAGAAATTTATTTTATTTTAGATTGATAAATACTTATGTATGAAAATTACTTATTAATAAACTGTTTTTCAAATTAGATAATTTTAATAATATAATATATTTCAAACGATTGACTGATACTGAATCCTAATTTCTTGACCTTTGAACTTTACCACTTCACAAATTCACGTTGTGTGCAGCGCGGTTTGAAGAATACAATCTGTAAATCTGGAACTCCTCTTGTTTTTTCCCATTTAAACAACATGACGAAGTAAGTGAATTGATGATTATCACATTATTTTATCTTTTCATATTGTATTTCTTGCCAGCTTTAGCTCAAAAGTAGAAACCTAAAATGATCGATGTCTAAACTCTAAACGATGGAATCTGGGTTTGCTGCGAGCTTGCGGCGATACGGTAAAGCCAATGCCTGCTCTAGCGGCCTGGAGTTTAGTGACAACGTGCATGTGTGAGTGGGTGTTTCAGCACGGAGCGGCGTGTGGCCACACATTGACGCATAGCTGTGTATTAAAACCTGGGCGCTTGTTCAAAAACCTATCCAAAAATAGACCCGTAACTCCGGCGTGGAGATACCCTACTAAAACGTACCCAAAATGAAGTTAGTCTAATTCTCATTAAATGTCCTAATAATAGGGTGTCTGAACGATTTTTCAATTTTCAATTTGGGATCGTTTTTCACCATTTTTGTTTGATATTTGAATAAAAGATGTTATCAGAATAATACATTTCAAATTTCAAGTCTCACCGATGTTTCTATCAAAAGTTACAGCCCCTCCAAAACGCTGGTATATTCATATCATTTTGGTCAAAATCGACGCAGAGTGATGTTGTTTTGCTAAATTTAGCCAAACAGCTGTATCGCGCGATATGCAAGCGTATGCATATCGTACGCATGCTGCTAAGCCAATCCGCGACTTGCAGCTTGAGCTACGCTGTCTCCGCGACATGTGCCATTGACTAGTATGGTTGGCGTTCGTCGCACAATAAACCCGGAAGTGAATGCACGTTATAGTCAATGGCAATATCGCGGAGATGTCTCCGCGATATTGCCATTGACTATAACGTGTATTCACTTCCGGGTTCTATGCCGCGAATGGCCACCCATACTTGAATTTGGGGTTTCGTTCGTGCGCGGAGATGTTACGCGATGTAACCATGGTTTGGACTGAGCGGAGCGCACGCCCCCTAATTAGCTGATCCACCAAATAGCGAGAAGGGTATTTTTAAACTGTTATCAGTTGTGATCCCTGGGGGCTAGCGAAAATATAAGCACATAGAATTGTTCCTTAGGACTGGGACTACTTATCGATCGGGGCGTCATATCTCAAAAGTGACAAACCTCAGAGTTAGCCAGGACACAATGTTTCAATTGCTGTTTTGACCAAGATATTTTTAGAATTTCGGGGGCTACGCCCCTTTAGAAATATTGGAATTTACCTGCTCTTTCATATGACACCTCATTTATTGATTATCACCTTCAGGATCACAACAGATAAAGGTTTGAATCTCGAATTGAAAAAAAAAAATTGACTTTTTTTGCATGGTCGCGCAATGCACGTAGACTGCATAGGGATGCGTGTAATCTCTATGGGAAGAATTTTAGCACACAACATCGGGTGCGCGATCAGACACCCTACTAATAAAGATCATGAGTTAAAACTAAAAGTCGTTATCAGGTGGTTATGTAGACCTAAATCTTTAAACGTAACAGTTAGACCCCTGGGCCCGTATTCAATAAACTTCTTAAGCTTGAAATCTAAGTACTTTTTCTTAAATTTTGGCTAAGAAAAAATCTTAGCCAAAAATCGTATTCTATAACAGCAATGGGAACTTAAGAAATTTGCCTTAAGATTAAGAAGGATTCTTAGATTTTATCTAAGAAAAAGGACTTAAGTAGCATGTCGTATTCTAATACAATCGAGATATCTAAGATAAGTAAGAAATCTACCCTATATTTAAGCATACTACGAGGATGCTTAAATGGGGCTTTGGCACCGGCAGCTCAGTGATGCTGCAAGCAACCGCTTCGGGTTTCGATCAAATGGAATAAAAACAATGCATGCAGCGCGAGCGCAGGTTATCAGTTGACCTATATAATAACGTAAGCTTCGCGTAATACAGCGTCGACGGCGCAGCGCGCAGGAGCGCCATATATAGGCTCTGTGTACTGTACTTGTACGTTTGTACACAACTAGTAGTAGCATACATGCATAACACTAAATCATGACATGGCTGTCGTATATAAAGGTCTCTTACTTTATTAGTCTTTGGCGCTAAAGTATGGAAACAGGGAATAATGTGCAATCGGCATAATATTAGGTGAGACAAAATTTGTTATAGTATGAGTCTGATAAAGGTTACATCTAGCCATTTGATTAATTTTAGGCCATCGTAACAGTAGACGATGTAAAACAATGAAAGGGTAGCTCCAAATCCAATGCTAGCGCTGGTCGGCCGGCTAGCGACGGCGCTCCCTTCATACTCACAGACCCTGCGGCTGCGACATAATAAGTAAGCCCGGTTGGGCTCCTCGGAGTTGTTTGACAGAAAAGTATAAAAAGCCTACAGTGGATGTTAGATCTAGCCTCAGGTGGTCTTGACTAGACTGTTTTAGTGTCAGTTGGTCAATCCCGAAATAATTATGTGAGCATCGTTCCTCCCTTACGCTCTCCCATACATGTTAGTGTATAATTTTCGTGCGGTGCGATTTTTATTTTAACACGCAAATTACATAGGCAAATCGAGTTGCAATTAATTCGCTCGAGTCGACCACATCAACTTTCCCACATGACGTCATCGAGTCTAAGAATTTGTCTTATCTTTCGTCTTAGCTAAGACAAACTGCTTTACGTGTTTAGAATACGGCTAAGGCAACTTTCTTAACCTAGACAAATTCTTAGACATTTTCTTAGACTTAAGAAAAATGTCTTAGCAGTTTATTGAATACGGGCCCAGAGGTCTACCTGTTTCGTGTCAATTTTCTTGTTATTTTTGAAGTATTTTTCGGATAAACGTTGATATTAGTAGACCCTCCTATACACTTTTTCACAGGTTTCGCGGCAAACCGCTGCACAATACAAGTAGAGTAGACTAGAGTCTCCGGTTTGCGGCATCGCCCGGTTTGCGGCCAGGGGTATTTGTTTCAAAAATAAAATGAATATGACTCGATAATAATCATTGAAACCTACCGTGGATTCCACAGTAAGTTCTGCTTTGCCGAAAATGTCCGTAGCAGGTGCTCCTATCGGTACGGAGTATCCGTCAGCGATGTCGGAAATCTACGGCACCAGTCGCCGATGAAAATGTTTTTGTGGAAGTATGATGGCTGTGGTCTGTCTCCTATCGCAGATATTTTGATTGTGCCACCGCATGGCTAGTTGCATGGGGTGGCCGCAAACCGGCACGTAATTACATGTACGTGTTTTTCTGGTTTGCGGCGGGGGGTGTTAATACACACATAACATGCAGGATCGTGTATGATGGTATGTGTGCTGATGTGTGTACCCCCTATGACCCGATAGTTTCTAGTAGTACGTACCCCCGTATGGGATGATCCATTCGAGGAAAAGGTGAATATGTTTAAAACTTCACAAATTTACCGTAGCAACAGATAAACATGAGAATTTGGGTTACCCGTAGTAATTTGGTACATGCTGTCATCGTGACGTAGCGCATAAAGCTTTGTGACGTACGCGTGCCACAAACCGGTACTGCGTGCCCGCAAACCGGGGAACTCGAAGCATTTCGAAACATGGTCAATGCTGACCACGCTGTGGGTCAGTTTGGTTATTTGTGACTTCTATTTAATAAGTAAGTATATGGACTCTTTATTGAGGGTATTGAAGTATTCTGTGAGTATTCCAATAAAAATAGAATCGGCAGTTCCCGCCGATCGGCCGCAGACCGGAGCCACTACTCTAGAGGTCTACATAGTCTACCGATGGGTTCTGGGCGGGCGCGCACCTGTGTGAAGTTATCTAGGGTCTACAGTTAGACTCTACTGTATATAAATGTCTCAGATCCTCATTTCAATTTTCATTTCAATTTCAATTTATTGTCCAATATTTTACAAACGTACAAAGAATCAAAATAAGTTTACATAGACCCTAGTCTACATAGACTAATACATCATATACTTTGACATAGAAATTCTTCAGAATATTGCCTTATAGAAAGTTTTCCTAGATCTACGTTATTATATAACAAAATAAGTGAATGGGATGGCCTGGAAACGTTACAAAAATAAAGAAAAGAACGAAAATCTCTGTGGTTTGAAGTAATATTATGTATTGACATTGCCATTGAAGTTAAGTACTTACTTACTTGCTTGGTATACTTGGTAGATTAGCTCTCTTTTCCTAAGGAAAAGGGGTTTCAATTGACTCTTAAAAGTTGCCACTGTAGGTGCAGACACTCTTTTTCTAGGCCCTCACTTAAAATAACTACAAAAATTGCCAATTTTGTTATCAGTTTTTGACATCATGTCCTCACTATTTATCAATTGCTTTATACAACTGTATAGTTTAATCCTGTCAATTTCCTTTTTTATCCCCTAAACTTGATTTCCCCATGTCTTTGCCCAGGTTTTATTATTTGTATCATATTGCGTGCATGACACTTCACAAAATCTGTTATGAACTTTGAAGAATCGATACTATTTTTGGAATATTGTATATTCATAATTATTGATTTTTATCTAAATAGTTTATCAAATTTCACATTTTTCATGATTTAACTGAAGAAAAAAATTACTCTACATCAGTGCATCCACACAAAAACATATTACTATCAATCGAACTTGGATGCTGGTGTGAAGAAATAAGATTCTTGGGGATAAAAAGAGAAATTATGGAATTAAACTATATATGGTAAAGCAATTGATATATAGTGAGGACATGACGTCACAGACTGATAACAAAATTGGCAATTTGTGTAGTGATTTCACTTTTTCCATAGTTTTACATATTTCTTTTTGCTCAAACTTCTTTTGATTGGTTTGTCTGATTTTTCTGCTTCTATTGAAAGTAAGTTATTTTTGGAGTGGACTTGTACTTTGAGTTATTCCTATTATTGCAAAGTAAGTATCAAATTGGCAACAAAACAAATGATTATCATTCTTATTAGCATTTGTTCATGTATGAATGGACCAGGGAAAAAATTAATATTTATTTTTCGGGGGCTACTTTTCAAGCTTGCCTGCATGAAAATAACACTCTAAAATTTGTTCTGCATTGAACTCTATGCAAATTTACAGAGGCTCTCTTCTGATTTTGGGAGGCTCTTTTGGGCATTTCGGGGGCTATTTCGCCCTGAGCCCCCGTGTATTTTTTTCACTGGAATAGACTATACCATCATCCTTACTCATAGGGGTGTTTTTATTTGTCTTTACAGAGGGAGGAAAGACCTGGGGGATATTACCTCACATAACATCAAGCAGCTGAAAAAACTCAACTCGGTCGTCTTCCCCGTCTCCTACAATGATAAGTTCTACAAAGATGTCTTGGAAGTAGGAGAATTGGCCAAACTAGGTAATTGGTGTGGTTAACCAATGTCTATTAATAGCAGACGAGCGCTTTAGGGCCTGTTCAGAAATGATGTGGCAAAACCCCATTGATTTTTTGATGATGACATAAAGTGTGATACGCTTCACATTTCTGTAACATATGATACTGAGCTCAGTGAATCGCACTTGTTAAAGAAAAGGTTGAGTTCTGGAAAGAGGTGAAAAATAATTTGTGAGCATTGTCATTCTTATTAAGCAAGTGTGGAAGAACATCAGATACATGTAAGACATGTTCCCTGAAAAGCATGGCTCTTCAAATGCCTTCATATTCTAAATATGTAATGTAACATCGTAAAAATCCGGGTAGGATTTTTACCACATGTGTTCGTGTAGTCGCATATACATCTTTCTGTGTACAGTGTTTGTAACTTTACCAAGACTTGGCCAAATTTATTATCATTTTGATGATTCCAGAACCTTGCAATACACACAAATTCTTATAGATGATCAACCTTTTTTGTTTGATTCCACACCGTTTCTTTCACAATGCAATCACATGACCAGAACTCAACTCGAGTCTTTTGTTGCGTGCAGTTGCCAATCATTTACGCGTAAACAAAATGTGGCTGCTTTTTTTGCGGCGGTTTACCGCGTCACATCGGAACAAGACTTAAAGGGTGTTTTATCTGTATGTGAAATGGAGTTAACATTCTTCTTGCTCTACATGTATATTAAAGAGGTTGAACACACTAACACTCACAAACTTTTTTATCAGCATGTGAATCTCCTAAGATATTAGAATTGATAAATAGTATGCAAAGTGGTTAACTGAGAAATGAAACACTGTTGATGTTGCGGTCTGTATTTCCCAGAATATTATTAGTGTTTGGGGGGGGGGGGGGGAGCAAGGGGGGCATGTAGGAAATCAAAGAGCAATTGTGCAAGTGAAGGGTTTTTGTCAAATACAAAAGTGAGTATGCTGGAAGTGAAGTTACAATATCTGAGACGAGAAATATGTCAGTGAAAGACAGAACAAATTAGTTAAATCTCTCATATTCATGTACGATGAAATTAGAAAATATCAATAATTGCACTATTTCCCCCAAAATTAACTAAATAAAAAAAAAATGCATCCGTGCAGAAATAAAATGTAAGGGTCATTCCATGTCAAATCACCCAATGGTTTTAACCCGACCATTTTTGATTTTGATGAAACTTAGTATACTTGTTGAGTGTGATCTCACAGCACCAAATCCAAAATTTTAGGTCAATCGGGTGAGGGGTTTGGGAGATACGGCCCACCAAATTTTGAGATTTTTTCAAAAATGGGGGTGGCGGGCCTACCTTTGAACCCTTGTATCTCGGAACCTAATGGGTCAATCTTCACAAAATTTGTATTGTTGGAAAGGGTATTCAATAAGGATTCCAATTCTGCCGCCATTTTGAAGATTCGTACATGTTGGGGTACTTTGACCTCTTGACCTCAGATTTGACCTTGAAATCGACCTTGTGGATCACGTAATTTTGACAACATTTTTCATGAAATGTAATCTCTGACATGTACACTAAAACATGTAAAAGTTTCAGAGATATAATATTTTTTGTTTAGGAGCAATAAGGATTGAAAGTATTCATGCTCACAGATATTCACAATAAACCCTATTATAATGTATACAATACATGCAATATGCACAGTACAACATACATCTTCCACATGCTTTTTTGTTTTAGGCATATCCATCCTAAATGTCAGTAGTACTTGAATAGAAATAAAATGACAAGTTCATATAGGCCTAAAGGGTTAACAGGATGTATGGCTTTAGGCCTCGGATAATTACCCCCCTGGAAAATTAACCCTCAGGAAATTCCCCCCCCCCCCCCCCCTGAGGACAATTACCCCCCAAGGACTATCACACCCAGAGGATTATTACCCCTCAGAAAATTACCTCCTAGGACAATCTGTCCCCCCCCCCCCCCCCCCGAGGACAATCAACACCCGGACAATTTCCCCTAGGACAATTACCCCCCCCCCCCCCCCCCCCGGGAAAATTACCCCTCTAGAATAATATACCCCAAAAAATAAATCTGCTTTGATTATAACCACCTTATTATCAGTTTGGACTTCCACTTTAACGAATAGGGGGGGGAGGGGGTAATTGACCTCTGGGGTAAATTTTCCAGGGGGTAATTATCCTAGAACCGACTCAGAGGTCTAAAGCCATACATCCTGTTAACCCTTTAGGCCTATATGAACTTGTCATTTTATTTCTATTCAAGTACTGCTGACATTTAGGATGGATGTGACTAAAACAAAAAAACATGTGGAAGATGTATGTTGTACTGTGCATATTGCATGTATTGTATACAGTATAATAGGGTTTATTGTGAATATCTGTGAGCATGAATACTTTCAATCCTTATTACTCCAAAACAAAAAATATTATATCTCTGAAACTTTAATATGTTTTAGTGAACATGTCAGAGATTACATTTCATGAAAAATGTTGTCAAAGTTGCGTGATCCACAAGGTCAATTTCAAGGTCAAATCTGAGGTCAAGAGGTCAAAGTACCCCAACATGTACGAATCTTCAAAATGGCGGCAGATTTGGAATCCTTATTGAATACCCTTTAAAACAATACAAATTTTGTGAAGAATGACCCATTAGGTCCCGAGATACAAGGGTTCAAAGGTAGGCCCGCCACCCCCATTTTTGAAAAAATCTCAAAATTTGTTTGGCCGTATCTCCCAAACCCCTCACCCGATTGACCTAAAATTTTGGATTTGGTGCTGTGAGATCACACTCAACAAGTATACTAAGTTTCATCAAAATCAAAAATGGTCGGGTTAAGATTTTCAGATTTTTTGGGTGATTTGACATGGAATGACCCGTAACATTGTCTTCCTAAAGGCCTAATGTATGTCTTATTACTCTACTTCGATCACATTATCATTCAAAATTATTTACAGTCAAACCTGCTTTAGTGAACACCTGTCTACAAAGGCCACATTTTTTGTTTCCCTTAAATGGTTTCTCATTGAAACCTGTACTTACGGAACCTGTCTCCAAAGACCACTTTTCGTGTTTCCCATGGGCAGTCACTATAGATACGGTAGGTTTGACTGTCACAAGCTCATTGACTGAATCCCACAAGTCTTTGTTTTTACAGGTCTATAGCATACTACATATACATTATGAAATCATATATTATTTGTTTGTCCCTGTAGCATACTACAATGACATCGTCTTTGTTTTTACAGGTCTATAGCATACTACATTATAAAATCATATATTATTTGTTTGTCCCTGTAGCATACTACAATGACAAAGTCTTTGTTTATTACAGGGCTATAGCATTCTACATTATAAAATCATATATTATTTATTTGTCCCTGTAGCATACTACAATGACAAAGTCTTTGTTTATTACAGGGCTATAGCATACTACATTATAAAATCATATATTATTTGTTTGTCCCTGTAGCATACTACAATGACATCGTCTTTGTTTTTACAGGTCTATAGCATACTACATTATAAAATCATATATTATTTGTTTGTCCCTGTAGCATACTACAATGACAAAGTCTTTGTTTATTACAGGGCTATAGCATTCTACATTATAAAATCATATATTATTTGTTTGTCCCTGTAGCATACTACAATGACATCGTCTTTGTTTTTACAGGTCTATAGCATACTACATTATAAAATCATATATTATTTGTTTGTCCCTGTAGCATACTACAATGACAAAGTCTTTGTTTATTACAGGGCTATAGCATTCTACATTATAAAATCATATATTATTTATTTGTCCCTGTAGCATACTACAATGATATCGTGGTTGGTGCTGTATGCTGCAGGATCGATACGACAGACCAGGGAGCTAGACGTCTCTACATCATGACCCTGGGGTGTCTAGCACCATACAGGAGACTGGGAATCGGTAAGTACTCTTTTTCTATGTTAGTGGACCCATATACCCACATTTATGTAGGTTTCTGCGATAGGAAAGATTTTGCTGGAATGTAAAGGAAAATAATGAGCTAGTACTACTACTGCAACTACAACTACTACTACTACTACTACTACTACTACTACTACTACTACTACTACTATTACTACTACTACTACTACTTCTACTTCTATTACTACAACTACATGTACTTCCACTACTACTACTATTGCTACAACTACTGCTGCTGCTACTACTACTGCTGCTGCTATTACTACTACTATACTACTGCTACTATTACTACTACTACTACTACTACTACTTCTACTACTTCTATTACTATTGCTACTACTACTACTACTGCTACTACTACTACTATTACTACTACTACTACTACTCTTACAGCAATAACGTCATAATTTCTTCTTGAAATCTCTATTTAGGACAGTTTAAAGTAAATGTGGCACATATTGTCCATTTTTGTGTGTTATTGTTATTGTTTTACGAAAATCAAATGGATATTCACAGGAAATATGTGGTCTTTTCTTAAAGGAAAGTATATTGGCCTCAAAACAGGGCTGGTCACTACAGCATGGGAAATCGCAAAATAAACCTGGCTTTCAGTCCAATCTGTTGGTATAATTATTTCAAAATAAAAAATGTATCTGTTTCTTCTTTCTTCGCAGGTACCATGATGCTCAAACATGTTCTAGATTTCTGTGAGAAAGATGGACGCATTGATAACATATACTTGTAAGTCATCTCATAACTTATTGCGATAAGCGAGTTCGTTATTAGGATTTGTGCATAGGCAGATAAAGGTCATTCGTACCCAAATTTTAAAACCATTGAGACGAATACTCGATCGTGCTCATGAAAGTTATTTAATCAGTATTCATTTATGCATCAACAGTACATTTATCTGATACACAGGTGGAAATATTCTTCTCAAGAGGCAAACAAAAGGTATTCATGAAGCACCTCCATCCCTTTGGCAGTGATTATTCTAAAATGCACATGTGGGACGTATCCATCATGTAAAAGATCTGTGAATATTTGGGGGTCATGCGTTCCGAAAGCTATTTACATACTAGCTTATTCATGCTATAACTGTTTACATGTGTACCAAATGCCTTTGAGCATGATACCAAATACAATATACAGTGTCTGAAACAAGTATTTTTACACCTGTAATTCAAATGGGGATATTAAAGGGTTTACCAGAAATCATGGTCCAGAAACCGGTGTTTAGGGACTTTAATTATACAGGGAATCTCAGGTGAGATTCCTGCTGTTATGTAACATGCAGTATGATCCATATTTTGATGGAGTACCCTTCTGTTGCGACGAGTGGAAAGGACAAAGTTATGTGAAAAAGGGGACCCAAAATGCAAGGTGTACAAAGAACTTTTTGATAGTGAAAATTTTGATTTATTTGCAAAAGATTTGGGAATATACCAGTGTTCAAATTCTCTTTGTTTTTGTTTTATAAAACACAAATAGATCTTTAATTTCAGGCAATTTCCTGGGGCTACGTTGTAGTATTTTACATTTGATTTGCCTTGAAGTAGCCTTTCTCACACGTGTACAAATAATTGTTTGAGACACTGTATAACTTGTTTTGATCAGTTAGCGTCACATAGCATTTTTTTACTCTCGATGTGCTATACTAGGTAAAACACGAGTTTGACTTTTGGGTATAATTCTTTCTGCAAAGCTAATGACATGAGCATAGAGAGTAAACACGAACATGTTGGATCAGTTTTTAATTAGGTTTATTAAATACCTGTGTTAAAACTTAGTTAAACATTTATGCATTACAACTTGCAAGTGGTGATATTGCCATGTTTAAATTATGATTTTTGAAGTCATGTTAAGTCATATTTTAAACATTTTAAATTTGAAAATGGGTGATGAACATGAGAGTATGTAATCATTTTGAAACGTGGGTTAGATAATTAGAGAGGGAGACAGTATGCTTGATTAAATTAGTTCAGTGAAGTGTTGTTAAATGAAAACTTCTGTCTGGCAACCCTCTTTATACATACATACATACATATTGATACTTATATAGCGCCTTTACATAAACATGCTCAAAGCTCTTTACATTAGTAAATAAAAACAGAATAATTATACGCTCTCCAAGTGCATTACACTCTAAAAATAACAATTACAAAGAAAACAAATGACTTTTTAGATTTCTCTTAAATGATGCGACTAATGTTGGTTGAATGATCATTTTAGTGAATTGCTGTTTAGTCTACAACTAGTTCGTCTACTACCAATTAGTCTATTCCCATTTGGTCTACACCCAGCCCGTCTACCATCCACATGGTCTCATAATCATTTCATCCACTCATCATTTGGTCAAATGACCATTTAGGCTAATAGTCATTTGGTCTAACTTCCATTCGGTCTAATCTCCAATAAGTCTACTACCCATTTGGTCTAATTGTCTGTCTGTCTGTCTAATTTTCAGTTCGTCTAATGCCCATTTTTGTCTACCGGTACTTTCCTTATGGTCTAATAATAATGTTATCATAAATATTAATAATCATCAAGTGACTCTTAGACTAAAGTAGACAGGCTGGGTTTAAACCATATGGAAATAGACCATTCAGGTTTTAGACAAACTATTTTTAGAACAAACGGCGTTAAACCATCATTCTCTGCCCTTATTCACACAGACACGTGCAGATTAACAACGATTCAGCAATCGACTTCTACAAAAAGTTTGAATTTGAGATCATTGAAACCAAAGAGCATTACTACAAGCGCATCGAGCCCGCCGATGCGCATGTGCTGCAGAAGACCCTACGAACCAACCAAGCCAACATTGTCCAAGCATCGTCATGAGAGGGCGCTCTTGAAGTATGACATAGTTCAATGAACTTTGCATCATAAGAATCTGGACTCAAGTTTGGAATGGTGTGAACTTTAACTCGATGTGTGAGTGTTTCATCGAAGAGCATGGAGCTACTTTTTGGAAAAACTTGATGGTTAAAAGGAAGAATCTTCGATGAATAGTAGAAGAGGTATTTTGATTGAGGTGAAGAAGACATATCTTTGTCCCAAGATATATATCATTACCAGGGGGCTGTTTCAAAAAGAGTTCGTAAAGTTACGCATGACTTTACGAATGACTTAAATATGAAAAGCCAAATGGGATGCTCAATCATTGCGTACACATTCAACTAAAGTTGAACTGTGTAGATGTAGATTAACATTCTTATTATAACAAACATATTTAATGCAAAATATATTTTTTTGCCATAATTTAATTGAGCTAATTGGAAATATAGTCGCACTTTGTTAAAACACCGGGAAAAACTTTGGGCATCCTATCTGGTACTTCATATACAAGTCGTTGGTAAAGTCTTGCGTAACTGTACAAACAGCTTTATGAAACACCCCCTGCTCTTATAAGTCCTTATATATTGAATACATGCAATTGAAGAAGCTAATGGAACCTGGATTGGTTATGTAATGACTTTCATATATACGTACATGGAATGCTATTTATATTAGGTATAAGGTAATCACCCTGGTATAAACCTTCGGCAAAACTTATACCATTTTTGATGTAGATAAAAAACGATTAGCTACATGGCAGGAATCAGCCATCCAACCGCCCCCCCCCCTCTCATCAATCGGTGTCCCTGATAACCCTGACTTAGTTATGCATGTACATTTGTTTTGCGCCATCTATCTAGAAATTCGAATTCAAGGTGCGCAAGGAACATACATGTAGATAACAAATAAGGGTCCGAATAAGTGCCATGTTCTTGTGTCAAGCATTGCTAAAATAGGAAAAGATAGGATTTTTACTTGGACTTGAATCTCTCTAATGGTGTAGTAGATTTCATGTACCTGTACAGTTTACTGCAGTGAAAAAAATACACGGGGGCTCAGGGCGAAATAGCACCCTAAATGCCCCAAAGAGCCCCCAAAAATCAGAAAAGAACCCCCTTAAATTTGCATAGAGTTCAATGCAAAACAAATTTTAGAATGTTATTTTTATGCAGGCAAGGTTGAAAAGTAGCCCCCCCCCCCCCAAATAAATAACTGCTTTGAGGGGCACGGTTAAAACTGTTGCCTAAGGGGATCTCGAAATTGTACTGTGCCAGGAGACAAAGTTGAGGGGTATAGTGCAGTCTCCAGATCAACGAGGGGCTATATTTTTAACCGCGACCCCAAAATAAGCAGTCAATATTTGTTTTTTATGTCCTGCACCCCCATGTCAATTCCCATGTCAAGAGATACAGTGTATTAATAAAATGCCTGTCAAAGCTTAATCCTTTGTAGAATTGTCTAAGAGCACTGCGTGTATCCATTGTTAACTTCACACGCAACCATTGTGTCCATGCATTGTACGAGCAAGTACAACTATGCCTGGTTCAAATAATTTTCACTATAATGCCCAGTAGCACATTTAATGTCTGCACGTTCCTAGAATCTTTATATGCAGTATGTAATGAATATAATATAATTCCTGTGCGCATTAAATCTGTACGTAAAACAGTATGTACTTGTCTGAAGTGTGTAAATGTACATGCATACAAGGTAAATCAGTTTGTACCATTAAATATTTACATTACTATTACATAACTATTTACATAACTTTCTGAAAAAATGTCATCTGATTGGTACATGTAGTTTACTGATCGAAAACTTCTTTTTACACAATCAAACTGAATTTTTGTTGTTCCTTTAGTGAGTAATTTTGAACACTAACAGTGTTCTTCATCAGTCTGAGGCTGTTTTACAGTGAAAAGCACTACACAAAAATGGACATGTGGGACCACACGCAAAAGTGTTGGTACATTAAAATGGACATGTGGGACCACACACAGAAGTGTCATTAATGTTTGATCCTTACTCCTTGGCTTTTCATACTCATATTTGAAATATGGCTTTTGGAGAGCACTCTATTCCATTGGATATTGTTTCAATCCTTCCAAACTATCATAGAAAGAAAGAGAAAGCTCACACATTACCAGGTGGGGGTTTTACAAGACTTGTCATCAGTGACAAATGACAGTATTTGTTATAAACTTCTGATATCCTTGCTTCTGATTGGTTATCAACAGATCTGTCACTGATTTTTGTCATTTGTCATCGAAGAAAGGGCTTTGTGAAACGGGTCCCTAAACTGTGACCTTGGAGCTTGCAAAGTTAAGTTGTGTGTACATGTTTCTTTTTTTTTTTTTCTTTCTTTTTTTTGTTATTGGATAAACACATCATTGTTACTCATATGCATTTAGGAGACCCCTTATCTGCATTTTCTAGGTCAAAATATGTATTCCCTGTCATTTTTCTTAATTGCTTATTGCAATTTTCTCCCAACTATTTCTTACAGTAAATTACATGTATAAGATTTTACACAATTAAATTTTTTGCATACAATGTATTTTTTATGTTAACATATTAAAGAAAGCTTGTACTATTTGAAATGATGTCAAGGTGTAAATTGACTTCGGGTTAGAGTCAGTATAGTTGGGGAGATACGTACATATGGGAAAAGTATGACACAAAGAGATGAGTTAGAAGCAGGGAAAGGGATAGAGAGAGAGAGAGAGGGAGAGACAGATAGAGAGAGAGAGATGGACATATACATGTATATATAGAGAGAGAGAGACTGTGGAGACAGGGTGAGAGATACAGAGAGGGGAGAAAGAGAGAGAGAGAGAGATGGATATATATACGGTATATATATATATAGAGAGAGAGAGAGAGAGAGACAGGGTGGAGACAGGGTGAGAGATACAGAGAGGGGAGAAAGAGAGAGAGAGATGGATATATATAAATAGAGAGGGTGGAGACAGGGTGAGGGATACAGAGAGGGGGAGGAGACGGGGAGACAGAGAGAGAGACAGAGAGATGGGGAGCAGAGAGACAGACACATGAGGCATTTATGGAGAGATAAAGAGAGAGTTGGAGGGATACTGGATAGCCAGGGAGAAATTATGAGAGAAAGTGTGAAGAAAGAAATGGAACTTTCTTAGACATAAATCATCCTTCATGAAAATTCTGAGTAACTTAATCTATAGGTTGTAATTTTGAGACAATCAAACAAATGCCAGAACAGTTTTTGATAATCTTTATTCAAATTCATGAATCAATACAAAAAAAATATTGACTGCTTTGAGAAGCAAGTTTAAAACTATTGCCAAGGTGATCTCGAAATGACTGTGTATTAAGACGAAGTCGAGGGGCGTAGTACAGTCTCGAGATCACAGAGGAGTCAGAAAAATAAGCAGTCAATAGTTGTTTTATATACCGCATCCCCCTGTCGATTTTCAAAAGAGACGTTGTAACAAAATATGCCGGTCAAAATGAATGTTTTTATAGAGTCGAGGAAAATTCACTCGTCTAATGCGTGTATGCATTGTTAACTTCATGCCCGACCATTACACCCTCTTGCATTGGAAGCACAAGCAGGGCCCTGTTTCATAAAACTTGATATCGATAACAAGTTACAAGCTACTGTTATAAGCTACTGAATCATGGCATCTGATTGGCTGAGAGCAAATTTGTCGCAGTTGTTATAGATAAAAAGTTTTATGAAACCGTCCCCAGATCTATGCCCTGACAATATTCGTTATACATTCACTAATCACAAGCATATTTCATGAATGCATTTATGACCAATCAGAGGCCTAGAATCTCAATCTTCATATGCGGTATATAGTGCGGTATATTATGCGGTATATAATTCTGTATATATTTCAAAATATATTACGATATGCACATTTACTTTAAAATGGAATGTAAAAGGGAATAACTAGATTCATACAACTATTGCATTTTGTAGCTTACGTGTCCACCATCCCCAGCAAATGAGTAGCTCTAAATATGTCCTATCATGTTAGTTTTATATTTATTCATATCCATGAACATTTTAATTTTTGTTCATGATATGAATTCTTTGGTTGTCAATATAAACGATATGCACATTTACCCTAAACATGGAATGTATGAGTGAATAACTGTATTCATACACTAAAAAAGACATATTAAAATAAAAATGAGTTATATACAGCGTTTTTCAGATTTAATCCAAACCGGAATGGGTATAATAATTAACTCTTGTATCCGCCTCAATTATTAATTTGTCATGACCAACAAAATAAATTGGTAGATACAAACTGGGCATCATGTGCTACATATGCTGCATCTATTTAAATTGTCGAAGGTCATCAAAGTAAAATTGCCATCTTTAAACCATCTACAAAATTAGGTAGTGGCACTTTTACTGAAATTTCATGAATAAACATATATTGTGATTGTCATAATACATTGCACATAAAAAAACAATCATAAAAAAAAAATTAAAAAAATACATACAGATAATCTTGAGGGTATATTTGAATCATGTGAAAAAAGGGAGACTTGTAATGGTCGTTCTACAACATGTGAATCTCAAACATACAAAGAAATATTTCAGAATACACATTTGTTTAAAGAGGTTAAAAAAAAAGCATTTACACGGCTAAAAATCCCCCTCCTTTTCTGGACATGCAAGGGCTGGAAGGATTTCCATATACTCTTAAAGTATAAACATTTCTTTATGCCCAGTGGAAAATCGCGTGAAAAGAATGGGGGCTGGAGTCATTTCTGCTTCAGTGAAATGACGGATATTTATTTTAGATCGAGAAAGAAGAAGTGCCCCTAAAGTGTTCATGCATTTAGTCTGACCCCTCCCATCTCGTATTGACATATTCCTGGTGATTCTACAGCATGTGGTAGTTTCTTGTTGTACAATTGAGTGATAGTTGCTCAATCCTATGAATTGTTTTTACAGAGCGTTTTTTGATTGATCCAATTAAGGCAGCATTGATCGTTGGGGGCGTGCGTGACACTCTAACGGTATTACTTGAAGTAGAGCTCGATGCCGGTTTATCGTCTAACTCGGAGTACGATGGTAGCCAGAGTGAGGAGCACTAACCACCAAGCCGTTGTGGTTAGGTAGCCGATCCAGACCTCAAAGTAACTCATGTCCCAACCTGAAAGAAAGAAAGAAATGCTAGTGAGATTTCTTTACGCCCATTTTCGTTAGCTTTTAATGGTTCAAATATTTGCGAACTACGGATTTACTAGACTGGGATATAATAAATTGTGAAATAAATATTTTCACTCCTTCTCCTCCTCTTATTATCTTCGCTCTCATCTTATTTTCTTAATTTTTCTCTTTATCTTGTTGTTCTCTTTCTCTCCCCCTTTTCTCTGCTTTTGTTTTCCTTTGTCATCACAATTGCAAATAAAATCATCTAAACATAAAAGGTTAATACAAAATGTAATGTATGTTGAATAGAACAGAAGATGACAAGTGAAGAAAAGGAAGAAGAGACAAAGAAAAAGAAAATGCAGAATGTTAGGACTTACACAATCAGGGGCGAATGATGGGGGGGAGGGGGGAGGGGGTAGTGAGCACTTTTTTTTTGGCCCTCGAAAATTTGAACAATTGAACCCCCACCCCCTTGAGCGCCAGGGGTGGGGGCCCATCTCCCAATAAAGGTAAAATTAATGTGTTTTTACACGTTTTTTTCCCCAGGGGGCCACACCCACCCCCCCCCCCCCCACCTTCCTCCATGGATTCGCCACTGTACACACTTGTAGGGATTGTATCTGAAGTAGAAATTAAGTCAATAGATATAGAAGAATATTGAATTTTTAAGGAAGTAAAAAAAGAAGGAAGCAAGAAAAAAATTCGGTGATACTGATATAAAACATTACCTCGTCCAAGTATTGCTCGTATGCCTTCTGCAGCCAAAGTCTGAGGCAATGCAAGTGCGATGTAATACACGGGTTCGGGCATGGCTTCAATCGGCCACACAACACCTGTTATAGAGAAAGAGGTAACATTTCACTCTTATTTCTGTCAAATTATAACAATTATTAAAACAAATGAGCGATCAAACGAAGAACAAGCACATGAATCAAACAAAAACGAAACAAACAGAAACAAGCAAATCAAACGAACCAAAACAACGTGAAACAAAACCATTGTATTAAATACGGTAAACTTAGAAAGAGGTAAGGGAGATGCGAATCAGAGAGGAAGAGTGAACTACACTAATGCAACAAATTGTAAGAATTGTAATTATCTTGAAGTTTAAATTTGATTGTTAACATATACAAATTAAAATGGAGCAAGTGGCATTGCGGGTTAGTTGGACTTGTTATAATATATGCAAATATGATGAGTGGCCATCTTGGAGGGCTTGCTGTACAAAATATTTCCCGTCTAAATCAATAGGGACTTTTCGTTTTACACGACGAGCGCGTGGACTGCCGCGTGTGCCATTGTGTTAAGGCAATGGGCACTGCCTTAAAAGGAGGTCACATTACCTTAAAAGGATGTCACACGTGGCGGTCCGGTTCTCGTCGTGTAAAACGAAAAGTCCCTAACGTCGAATTGTCTACTCGTTCGGGTTAGCATTCCCTTCAGAAGGAACAGGGGCGACCGATCTCCAATAGATTTGCTAAGTTTATGCCAAACATCAATACATTATAACTTTCGTTTCTTCCATTGTTTCGATTTCATTTTTCATTGCACCCTCCCTTAATTGTTTCTTTTTCAAAATTGATACCATGAACGGACTGTGCTAATTTGATGCTGCGCCTTACCACTGAGGAGGAGAAGGGGGTAGAAAGATCCGAGGGCGAGTTGAATAGCTGTGGATTCCGAGTCACAGAAGGCCGAGATGAGTAGACCAAGAGCCATTCCACATAAACCTTGTAACATCATCATCAGAATGACGAGGAACAAACTACCCTCGTTCGGAATCTAAATAGAGTTCGAAATAGATGCATCATTATTTATCGAGCAGACAGAAACAAAGGTTCAGAAGAAAGAGGGAGACAGGAAAAAAAAAGGGGAGAGGAACGAGATTAAGAAGATGAAGTTTTTGATAGAGGGATGGGGGGAGGAAAAGATCAATTGAAAGAGAGCTTATAGGCTCAACATGAGAGAGAGAGAGAGAGAGAGAGAGAGGAGGGGGGGGGGGGGGGGGGGTGAGAATACAACAAATTGAAGAAACATCCGGCCAAGAGGGATAATTAAGGAGGGGTTGTTGCTGTTTGTCCCATCGATCTCATGTTGTTCAAGACCACTATAGGACCTAATTTAACCGCATGAAACCATTACGGACCATTATGGTAAAAGACCATTACAAGATCTCACACGGTATAAGTTGATTACAAGTCTTATATGGTATAAGCTTCTTTCTCATTTACGCATTTTCCCATCCCCTATACCATCTATACTTACATCAAAGACCGCGAATGTGAAGACGAGTACGAGGGCGATTTGGACCGAGATGATGATGAATTGAGTCATGACGTGAGCTATGCTTACTTCACCTGGTCCAACACCTGCACAAACGAGAACACAATCAAGGAAGTTCAACTGTATTGATAATAGGGACTTTTAGATTCTGCACGACGAGAACGCGGACTGCCCTTTTAAGGCCATGTGACGTCTGTGCCAGTGCCTTAAAAGGACATCACATTGCCTTAAAAGGGCAGTCCGCGTTCTCGTCGTGCAGAATCTAAAAGTCCCTATTATGCTTCAAAGTTAAACCTTCTCTCAAAAAGGACAGCTGAAAATTTCGGTGGTAAAGATTTTGGGTTGAGGTCAATAGTTTAACTTTCAAACGAACGACCTTTTTTCTTCTTGGAGTATTCAAAGTGTAATGACTTTAGAACAAAAATATAAAGACAGAGGGTGGGGCATTTGTCTTACTCGGAGCAGAATGTAAAATTATTAACGAGGTTATTAATTAGGTTGGGATCTAGGAGAGGTCAAAGCGTATTCCTTTCATGTTCCCATACACCTCTATTTTGTTCCTCTCTTTTTCCCCATCTTCCCTTTCCCCCACCTTTGGCCATTGAGAAAGCATGTCTGGTGGTGACGTCACTTCATATTCACTTCGTGTAGGCAGGATACTTCGAAATTTCGCGAAAAGGTGGTAATTTTCGGGGATGTTTGAAAATATTTAAATGTTCGTGAATTTGACAAATATGGTTTGTTTTGAGATTTTTTTTGCTTTGTTTTTAAAAAGGAAGAATTTCATGATTATTTTCAAGAGGAGCGTGTGACTTGTTTAGCTTAAAGATAAACTTGAGTTCTGGTAAAATATAGAAAATCAATTCTCACAGAATCCAACGAAACCGTACACTGAATGTTCAAGATTACAAATAAATGACATGTGCCGAACAATTTTGGTAGATAATGTATAGTGGCTGAGTAGTGAGCATAGGAAGATAAGGAAATCCGGGTAGGTATAGGCCCGACACCATGGGCTTAAAGATAAAGTTGAGTTCTGGTATTGGTGTGTACTGCAAGGTTCTGGAATCATCAAAATGAAAAGAAATTTGACCCAGTCTTGGTAAAATTACAGCCCTGTACACAGAAAGATGTATATGGGAATACACGAACATCTAGCATAAAAATCCGACCCGATTGCTTTGCTGTTACAGTGGCAGATCCACGGGGGGGGGGGGGGGGGAACGTTTAAAAACACGTTAATTTTACCCTTTTTGGAGAAGGCCCTCCCCCCCCCCCCTTACGGGGAGGGGGGAATGCGATTTTTCCAATTTTCGAGGGCCCAAACAAAAGTTAGGGCTCACTAAGGCAAATTTCGCAAAAAATATTGTACTTTTTAATCGATTTGAACTCGATAACCAGTGTTATTAAATATTGCACATTTTGTAGCTTTTTAAGGCTACAGGGGTCGTAATTTGTAATAAGTTATCTTGAAACCCCCATCTCCCCGCGGCTAGCATGCCACCGATGAGAGAATTTACTCATTTGTGATGGGATGACTGAGGGAATGTTTTATAAAAATAATAATAGGGACTTTTAGATTCTGCACGACGAGAACGCGGACTCCCCTTTTAAGGCAATGTGACGTCACTGCCAGTGCCTTAAAAGGACGTCACATTGTCTTAAAAGGGCAATCCACGTTCTTGTCGTGTAAATCTAAAAGTCCCTAATGACTAACCTGCGACCCAGATCCTGTCCAGTAGACCCTCTTTCCTCTCCACGACAAAGGTCATTGAGGTCAAAGCCACCGCGTGGAAGAATATGACCCTGCATGAAAAGATTGGTTTTGAACCATCTTCAAAGTTTATCGTTTGTTTCATTTTCTTTCTAAAATGTATGCTGCATAAATGTTGTAAGTTAAATGTCATTGACAGGATCACAAAGACTTTACAGAAATCAACTTCATGGCTAATTGAATATCCTTTTGCAAACCTATACAAATTGTGTTTGGATAATGTAATGTATCATTGTCATTGTTACACATTCCAATAGGTAGCGCACAAAGCTATTTGAAATTGACTTTAATGTTATTTTTTTTTTTTAGTAATTGTTTGCGATCGTATTGGCAATATAACATATAATCAATATTTCATCAACTAGTGAGATGTAGGCTTATCAAGTGCAATAGTTGAATTTAATTTAAATGAAAGCCTCTTTATTGTAAATAAATTGCAGCTCAACAGCCTAAACTATCACATGGCAATGCAAACAAGTACAAAGTAAAGTACAATACAATTTAATATACATTTATTTTCATATATATCTAAAAGCATGTCATAGACACTGTGCAGCAAAATAAGCATTGTGATGCACATAAACACATATACACACACACACGCACCTACACAAATCAATGAGAAAGAGGGGGATAACATTCATGGAGAGATAGGGACTCTCGGAGGGAGAGAGAGAGAGAGAGGATGTGACTGAGAAATAGAAAGAAAGAAAGAAAGAGAAAGGCAAAAAGAGGACCGAGAAAGAGAGCGAGAGAGAGAGAGAGATACAGAGAGAGAGAGAGAGAGAGAGAATGTGAGTGAGAAATGGAAAGAAAGAAAGAGAAAGGCAAAACGAGGAACGAGAAAGCGAGCGAGAGAGAGAGAGAGAGATACAGAGAGAGAATGTGATAGAGAAAATAGACAGAGAGAGGATAAGACAGGGTGAGAGAGAGAGAGATAAATTTTCTCAAATACTTCCTCTCCATCATGATTTAAGTGAACCCACTCTTTGAAGCTTACGTTAAAATAACACCGGCAGCCATGAAATTGGTGAAAGGTGCATCGACCTCACCGTAGATTGGTTCTTGGAACTGAACAGAGAACATAATATTATATGAAAATGAAAATAGTTGAAATGCTAGATGGGTTATGGGTAGGTTGAGTAAATTTGTCACGAAATATAGCATACTAAGAAGTTTCAAATATGATGGTTGATCAAAGTGTTTGAAATTGACGGTTTGGTTTCTCAAAATCTTTGAACGCAAGTTAGTGTCGGTCGTTATCAAGTTCAAGTTAAACTTTATTGATCATGCACATTTACATGGCTTAAAAATAATTTTCCGGCTGTTTCTCAATTAATGTAACATCAATTAACATACTTGTATTATCAATTCATACAAAATACAAAATCAGGAATAAATACAACACACAATAGAACATGACTACAAAATGGAGAGGACGGAATAAAACTTCTAAAACCACTTGTACTACATGCATTCTGTGCCAAGAATATTTATATGAAGTTATGACTTGATTTATTCCAATCTAATTCCCCTAATAAGTAATATAACATCATTTAATATAGCAAATACTTGAAACAGAATTTGACGAAAAGATTAGAGATACTAAATGAATGATATACTTTGAAAAGGACGTGATTTATTCAAAGTCACTTAATTATTATATATAATTTCTTATATATAATAATTCCGTAGTACATGTACATTAAATGCGTGAAATAGAATTTGACCAACATTACAGATGTTAAATATATAGTATTTTACTTTTTCCTAAAGGACCTGACAACAAATTACAAATGTTCAATGAAAAATATTGCACTTTTGAAAAACTACTTACAGCGATAGGAATCTGTGCAACAGCTGGGTTCACTCCTATACTAGTCAAGACGACATCGACAAAAGACTAAAGAAAGAAAAACAAAGTTCGAATTATTTACATCTATTGTTTATCATTATTGTTTTGTTGGTGTGTTGGTTTCCGGTTGTGTAATTGTTATTATTATTATCAATGTTGTTAAAACATATTATCATTATTATTATTATTATTATCATCATCAACATTATTCTTGTTATCTACTTGTTTTTAATCAGTTTCAATATCAGTATATCATCATTATCAATATTATACAACGCAAAAGAAAACATAATGATACGGATTGATAACCCTGCTCAGCTGTGTCAGTATACAGCACAACGAAAAACTTTAAAACCAGCAAGAAACAGAAACATCATACTACATACAAACGAAATACTTCAGAGATGTTGCCATAATTAACCAAAAATAAATATCAACAAGTGTTTTGAATATTTTGAAATATTTCGTTTATTTGCCTTTATGCATTCATAATGATTTTGAAGAGGACTTTGATGCTATTTTGTCATCATCATGAACATCAACAAGTTTCAAGGTTGAATAAAACGTCTACTTAAAAAGAAATTATCACTCAATCCGTCTAGCCTATTGCAATTCCCTGAAATGTTTATAGAAAATACAAATATATGATTACACTTCTTGTTGCTGTTAGATAAAAAGCCATTTTACAGGCGTTCAAAACAAAAGAGGGTCTTGTATTCCTCTTCGCTCCACAGTTTCCATTACACTCAATTTTACCTAAGGATCATTTAAACCTCTGTTTATTCATTAAATGAACTCTTACAACACTTGCGCTATAGATCAATATTAATAAGAGTACATTGCATTATATCTATGTAAAAAGGTTTTTCAAAATGACCTACCTCATACGCAGCTAATAAAGCAGTCTGGATAGACACTGCAATCTGCTGATCTAAGAAGGGTGGGATTTAGAGAAAAAGAAAGATTTGGATGAATAATCATACTATAATTATAAGAAATGGAAGAGTAATTAGAACTAAAGTTGATATTTAAGGGTTTGAATTATGAAAAGGCGTTAAAATGCTAAAATAGCTGAATTTCATCAATAGTTGATGACACGTAAACAATGTATTTTAACCACAATCTAGTTTTTATCAATCTTAGACTTAAGACATAAATTTAATTTACTTTAATAAAACACATATTAAGCATTTAAACAAAAATCATGAGTGTAATTATCGAGGTAACGCTTTCAAAAAGGGAGCACATAACCGTAATTGGTTTTGAAAGTAGTGACAGATGGAGTTGCACAAGGTTCTATTTTATTCCCTTTTATGTACTGTTGCCCTTAAAGTTGGAATAATTTTTCGTTACTTCTTCTCATCGAATGACGGTGGCAATGTAATTTATTATTGATAGATAAAGTTTATATCTTCTCAGAACTTTTAGCAGATGTTTCTACATGTACATCCATTTGAAAAATAAAAAGTACACAATATTCAAACAACAAGAGTAATATATAATATAATTGATTTACATAAAATGTGACAACTGGAATACACAAGGAAAATCCGTAGATATAATTAAAAACTTGAAGTATGGAGGTAAATCAAGGAATACAAATAAATGCAGAGGCCAACTATCAGAAGCTTGAATACTGGAGTTGATAGCAGCAACGTTAATGATCAATCTAAAGAGATATGGATGTTATTCAATAAAGCTTTGAGAAGATCTTCACAGGCAACAGGCTATTCACTGATATGTAGAATTATACAGTACTTGCTCTAACTGACTTTGTTCGTCTGATAAATTTGTACAATGTTATGACAAAGCAATTATTCTTTCTCGTCTCTTCCCTCATGCCTCACTATGAACATGACGGACAAAGAAAGAGGACAAAATATACAGTTCCTTAGGTAGACAAAGGAAAATCCCTTCCCTGCTATTATGTAAAAATGTGTAGAACAGGTGGCACATGCATATTCACCTGTTCTACACATTTTTACATAATAGCGGTGAAGGGATGTTCTTTTGTCTACCACAGCAATTGTTGAGGGTCGAATAAGGAACTGTTTATTTGGTCCTCTTTCTTTGTCCGTCATATTCATAGTGTCTGCTATTATCCCTTCTTTTCTTTTTTCTAAGCGCATAGGGAATTAAATTAATTTTTGTCATATGCGCTATATAAGAATGGTTTATTAATATTATTGTATTTATTTATTTCGGTTTAAAAGACATATACTTATACATGATTCAAAGGTCCAAGGACCAAAACTGATCATGTTTACAAATTATACAATACAGTTATGAATACAAGTAAATATACAATAGTGAGCCAAACGAACAGGTATGACAAGTACAAGAAGGTAATACAAATGAACAAAATAATTCTTTTCCATCAATACAATACCAAGATAAACTAAGAGAAAGTAGTGGTCAAATTACTAAACTGATATATGGTAATGGTAGCAGATAAACGGACAATAAATGTTGAGTAACCAAACAATTGTATAGGACTTACTCGTGGCATCCATCGTGACTCTGACCGTACTGCCAAACAGTGTCACATTGTCAACGGCATTACCCTGGACTACACTGAAAATGAAAGGTAGAGACAGAAATAAGTAAATGTCCATTTAGAAACTACAATAATTCGGCGTTGTGGCGTGCGCCTGTAATCCAGCTAAAAGTGGAAGTTACAAACTGATTCAGCCGAGGACGCAGGTTCGAAACTGAGTCACGTATTTCGGATGGTGACGTTTAAAGGTCGGTCCCCAGACTTAAATAATCATATCTGATTGATACACGTCTGTAAAAACCCAATACACACACACACACACACACACACACTACATCGGGTAACAACGGTTGGCGTTACAACAAAAAAAAAAACATATATCTGCATTTTATAACTTCAGAAAGTGATGCGTTCTTCAAGATTTTTTCTTAAATTTCAAGATTTTTTTTTCATCTAAGACTAAAACGGAGTTCGCTCCATGAATTACTTTATTTTATACGATGTCCTGGCGAGCATAAGATGCTCTGAATCGAATTGATATAAACATACTGTATATTGTAGAAAATGGATTTCATCAGTGTACCAGTTTACTAACATATTACAATTTTATGCATAATTTTAAAAGCTTTCCCAAGGCTTGCCTGACAGAGCAACAAGTAATTTTTGCAGATTGGATTCCAGGTATTGTAGTTCATTTATTAACTACATGTTAATAAAATAACTCGTCACATATGGTCCCCTGGGAATAAAAATCCATATCTTTGACTACGTTAGTAAACCGGTTTTATGGTCTTAAAATTGACTGAAAAAGGCAATGTAACAATTTTCGTAATTGACAGTATGCATTTTTGCTTATGAGGAAAGTAGCTGTTCTACACCGCCCCTACCAACAAATCTTAATTACAAATAAATCTAAGCGAGGCACATGAAGAGAATGAGTGCAAAGACCCCAACGCTCCTCCCCCGCCCCCCCCCCCCCCCCCCCCCCCCCCACACACAAAAAAAAATATTGCTCTATAACCGTACCTGTATTTGAATAAATTATTAACATGTTACAAACGGATGTAAGACAGATGTAACCTAAATCATACCGTTGGATGAGGTAGTGAGAATAGTTGGCTGGTATCTCAATGATTCCCCAGTATTTTCCACTCTGGCGTATATCCGCAAAGGCTTCTTCGTATGTATCGACAGGTTTCTGTATCCAAGATTCAAAACGACAAAATATTGAAATTTAAATTAATTTCTATAATGATAAATCATAATTTTACCCAGGGTAGCCACGTCTGTATTATTCCTGCTTTTCCTGTGGGACCAGGGGGTGTTTCACAAAGACTAAGATCTACTTTAAGTTGGACTTAACTATGGCAGGCTGTTCATGCCACTTGTTCCTCTAACAATTCCTGACATTGGTTTCTGAAGGGACGTACAAATCGTGGTCACAAATCTGCAGAATTTACCTTTTTTGATAGTTCATTATTGCAGGGAAAAATACTATCTAAAGATCAAAATGGTGAGAGACCAACGGTGAGAGCAACCAGTGGCATGAACGGCCTGCCATAGTCGAGTCCAACTTAAGGTCAATTTTAGTCTTTGTGAAACACCCCCCTCGAATTCTTATTACCCCAATAACTACCAGGTACCCATTTTACATCTGGATCTTGGCACGTAGATAAACGTTAACGCCGGGGTGGGATTCGAATCCCTACCTTTCATGAACGAACCGCTATACCACACACAGTCACCTCCACTCTGAATGTCCAAACTGTCACAGTTGCCACCTGTCTAGTTAGGCCTCCTGCTCTATTAATAGCGGGCACCTATATTGTCTCAGTATTTATAATGCCCTAGCTACCCTTTGCAAATAATACCAAATTATATTATTGTTAACGGCCAACTGGAGGTTTCAGATTCTGCTGAATTAGAACATTGACAATATATATGAGGTTATTGTTTGCATTTTAAATCATCAAATATATGAGTTCAAATAAAGAGATAATACAAAATGTATTATTATGCGCGATACCAATAGAACGTTATTACATATGTATTATAATTGTTATCATTAGTACTACTCTACTATACTGGTACTACTACTACTCCTACTACTACTACTACTACTACTACTACTACTACTACTACTACTACTACTACTATTACTACTTCTAATACTGCTACTATTACTACTACTACTACTACTACTACTACTATTACTTCACTATTATTATTATCATTATTATTCATATACTTATCATCATCATCTTTTATTATAGACATCAATTATCATAATTATTGTAATTATTTTCATCATCATTAATATTAATATTATGATTAATATTTTATCAATATCTCAGCTTGAACTATGCTGTTTTTGTCTCATTAGCATACTGAAGACAAGCTTCAACCCGTAGCCTTAGGGTTATCATTATTATTATTATTATTATTAGTAGTAGTAGTAGTAGTAGTAGTAGTAGTAGTAGTATTATCATTATTAGTATTATTATTATATTGGCTGAAATGCTCCCCAGATAGTGGAGATTGTGCACACAGTATTGAATCCAATGACCGGGGTAATAGTACATCTGTAAAGCGCTTAGAGACATCATTGATGTATTAAGCGCTATATAAAAGCGGAATTGTTATTGCTATTACCATTACTAATATTATCATCATTATTATTATCTTTATTATCATTACAGACAATGGAATGAGCATCACCTGGGAGATCATTGAATCGTCTATCTGGTTAAGGTAGATGTCACTCAGATTGAATGCGGCGTAGGCATCGTTATTGACCACAGCTACAGCAAGGTTCCTAGGCGGGCCACCGATGGCGAGAAAGAACAGGGATACCTCAACCACGGGCAGGAGGAATTGGAAGAGCGTCAGACTGGAGAAGAAAAGAGATGAACAATAATCGCGATGATGATAACCAAAGAGGGGGGGGGGCATAATTTATAAGAATGACTTTCGAAAAACAAATAAAATGAAGATTATTTTTTCCTTCTTCTTCTTCTTCTTCTTCATCTTTTACTCTTCTTCTTCATTATTTTCTTCTTCTTCTACTTTCTTTTGCTTCTCCTGCTTCTTCTTCTTCTTCTTTTCCTCCTCTTCTTCTAATTCTTAAACTTCTCATGCTTCTTTTTCTTCTACTTCTTCTCCTTCTTCTTCTTCTTCTTCTTCTTCTTCTTCTTCTTCTTCTTCTTCTTCTCCATTTCATTAACCTTGCCGATCACCTATTGGAATGGCTGAACATTACAATAAAGCATTATGTAGTCCAAACATGATTTTGATAGGATGTACAATAGGATATTGACGATGCTCTTTAGTTTATTAGTCCTTGCGATCGCGTTACATATGAAAGTATATTTGGTTCTTGTAAAGCGCTCATTTCTGTTAGACTTGACAATGACACTCCTGGCGCTCCCGATTTTTACACTGGCTTTAGCATAGCTGCCATTGCGGCGCTCTATTGCATTTCAAGGAATGAATTCCTGCCAGGTACCCATTTACATCACCCCTAATCCATTCTCGCCCATTTCCGTTTTAACGAAGAATTCAGGGTTGTTTATGGATACTAACTGATTTCATAATAATATTATTGATAAGTTTCTAGTACCTATACAAAAAAGTTGAGTAAAAGTTATCAAAAATTTTGGATACAGACAGGCAACATGCATGTTTTAGGGGTAAATCTTTACTCAATTTAAATTTTATGTAAGTTTGACCGAGTTTGGGGTGCATTTTACCCAAGTTAGGGTTAAATCTTACCCAACAACATGCATGCTCCCCTTTTACCGAATATTCGGTAAATTTTACCCAACCTCTTTTTCGAGAAAAACATCATTACACAGGAATGGAATTTATGGGAATGAAATTAATTACCCTGGGTTTCTAACCAGCTTGAGTAGATCCTTGATAAGTAGGGCCCACATGTTGAGTAGACTTGGAAAGATATCCGTGTATTTCAACGGCGGCATTTCTGGGGTAAAAATGTCACAGTAATACGTTTTATCCGAAATCTGTAAAACACATTTCTTTCCAATGTACATTGTGATAATATCAAACTGAGAAAATAACATTAAAAAATAATCCTTATCATGCAAGTGATAAAGATCTTCAAATATCTTTACACAGTCAGTAAAAAAGAAAAAGGTGTAATAGCATCATGTATTTCGTTCGTTGAGTGCTTTAAGAGCGTTAACTAACAAACTGTAAAGCCCCACTGTCCTACTTGTAGCTACTTGCTCCCTCTATAAAGAAAACTTCCCCAATCGGTGCCCATGATCCTCTTTTTCTTATGTTAGTTGAGAGCTGAGTTGATGACATGTGTGGTCTTATCCCTTCTGGCCCAGTAGAATTGACGGTCTTTAACACAGGACGCCCTTCTGTCTAACATGAGACGATTTTATCTATTGCGTTCATGTAATCAATAACATAATTATTGTTGCTACCCAAAGCCAATCATCTAGATATATGTTCAATTTTTTTTTTATCCCGACATGTTCAATAATAATACTAATATTGGATATGTATATAGCGCACATATCCACCATGCATGGTGCTCAAGGCGCTCCGACCTTTACCCCGGCTCTGCTAGGCAGCCGATTTCGGCGCTCACGGCATTCAAGGAATTCCTTCCTACCGATACCCGTTTAACACCTGGGTGGAGAGTGGCGAATGTAGATTAATAACAAAGAACCTGGGGTAAAAGTTTAAAGGGGAAGTCCGCCCTGATATTAAAGTTGGTTTTAATAAAAACAGAAAAATTAGAGAAACAAATTTGTGAAAGTTTGAGGAATTTGTGATCCGGAAAAAAGAAGAAATAGCCTTGTCCCTCACCCTAAGAAATGTATGAATGACAATGACGTAATATACTCTAAAAACTGAAATTGTCAATTTTAAAAAGGCCGAGGAGTGACCACTCTTTCAAAATGTCAGATCGTTCATTTTAACCTGCTAGATTCAACCTTTATAGTGTTGGATCCAGCATGTTCAAAGTGTTAATCTACCATTTTGAAAGAGTGGTCACTCCTCGGCTCTTTTAAATGGTGATTTAACATTTCATTTTTTAGAGTGTACGCAATCCGAACATAGTTTCTACGGGACATACAGTTGGCTTCTATCAAAATTGCCCTAGTCAATGATTTGATTTATCGAAGTCTGAGACCACATTAACCATATTCATAATTGGGTATATCTATGATTACACAATCAGAAAGGTCAGATTTTTTTTCCTATTTATGATTGTAAAAGAATCTGTAACTCGACCCTCTGGCCGAGAATGTGTTCTTATCGACAAACCTTTTCAAACAAATATATAAATGTGTATTATAATAAGTAGAAGTTGCAGAGCAAAACAAAAATCGTCCTTTAATGAGATATGAATGTAGCTGGATAAAGGAAGCAAACTTTATGATGCTAACCGTAGTGATAATCTGGAGTTTCAGTTTTTGTTGTCATGGTGGACATTGAGCGAGCCACGCCCCCATTAGCCCTGCGTTGGGAGATCTCTTCATATACGTCATCATTGGCGTGTTGATTCGCATCACCATTGGGCGGGGCGCTTGCTATGGCAGGTACGTCATCGTAAACCTGATTGGTGTATTGAGTCACGTGACTGCTTGACTCTGAAATTAGGCGTGTCCTTTCGTTGACTTCTGAGATGCTGGCTGCTCGCACGCTAGTTGGAATGTCGTCCTGGGATTCAATCAAACAAAAATGAAAACAAGACTTATTTTCGTGATAGTATAGGTTTTCCCGCCCAATTTCATCAGAGTTGCATTCGACTTCATGAATAGGCGTTCAAGTTCGAACGGTTTTCATCAACTCTCTGCTCTCATGGTTCATTTTCATTCTTTGAGTATTTAATTTCATTTTATATCATTCCTTTTAAATTTTATTTCATTCAATTTAGAGAGAAATCCATTCAATTTAGTGCCGCTAAGTTTTCATTCAATTTCGCGCAAGCTGGATAGACGTTCAATTTCGTGCTTAATACCAATTTCAATTTCATTTATAGGAACACACCTTCGCACTTTGAACGTTCAAATTAAATCAACATAAACAAGTTCTGTAGTTCTATTTAATTTTTACCGCAATCTTTTCACGTCAAATTTATTTTTTTCACTGTTTTTAATTATATAACTTAATTTTCATTCTTAAAGTTTCATAATGTTTATTTTTTTTATCATATTCTATATATTTCTTTTCTTCCAGTTTCACTGTATTCCCTAGCAGTATGGATATAACACTTACAGAATGCTTATAAATCATAATTTGTTTACATGACGGTTTGTCAGATGAATGAGATATTTCACTATAAGGTAAAGGTCCCATTTCAAGGTACATAAAGTTTGCATAATTTATTCAAAGGGATGCAGATTGCAAAGAATATAAACAGTAACAGAAAAAGACTGCCCAAATGCTGTAAATGCTTGCCTATTCGTCAATTTGAATACCCTAACGTTCATCAGGGCGGTGCAGGTGCGAAATTGAATGCATTTACTTGCATTTTTAATTTGAACGCGCTTTTCACAAGTTTATGTGAGAAAATCATGAAATCGCATGCTTATACAATTAAATTGAATGAACTAATTAGCTTTTTGAATGTTGATCTCGGTGATCATTCAAATTCGCTCGAAATTGAATGATCGCATCGTTAAATCGGATGCAACTCTGATGAAATTGGGCGGGAAAACCTGTAATAAAGTGTTTGTTTTTTCAATGATAAGTAAGATTGACGATGATAACGACAGTTTTATGGTGATATCTAGAAAGCAAGCATTTCTTTTACTTCTTCTTGTTGTTCTTGTTGTTCTTCTTGATGTTCTTGTTGTTCTTGTTGTTCTTGTTCTCCTTCTTCTTCTTCTTCTTCTTCTTCTTCTTCTTTTTCTTTTTCTTCTTTTCTTTTTCTTCTTTTCTTCTTCTTTTTCTTTGTTTTCTTCTTCCACTCCTCCTCTTCTGCTTCCTTTCCTCGTTCTTCATTCTTCTACTCCTCCTCTTCTACTTCCTTTCATTGTTCTTCATTCTTCCTCATCTTTCTCTTCTTTTCGCCAACTCATCCTACTTTTTCTTCTTGTGACACAACAGTGCCACTTTTTTAAGGTATTAATTTCCAATGTAATTCATAAATATGTATACTTTATTAATATATGAATGTATAAGAACGATGGATATTGTATTAGCTTTTAAAGTAAACTCTAAGGTAGGTATCCCTTGGTCTAAGATCGCGTTTGACAGGAATACTTAGACTACAGACCAACTTCCCTTTGGCTAAAACCTAGCATCGAATTTAAATTTTAGTAGGATACGGGCACATGACACCTACTACAAAAATAACTTTATTCTTTTATTATTGCTATTATTACTATATTATTATTTTAATCATTATCATTATTATTACCATCATTATCATTATAATTATTAGTATCTTTAAGCAGTTTGACTTGTGTTAGCGTTTCACCTTAAAGGTAATGCAAAGTTTTGGGAAATTTTTGAAAATTGGATGGATAGTAATTCATTAAAATGTTGATATATTTGGTTGCCTCTGTGGATTTTGTATAAGCACTAGAAAATTTAGCCCCTAAAACACTTCTGCTTTTGAGAAATTTAATAATCAAAACACTTCCGGTGCTCCCTGTGAATTTCAAATATTCCAAATAGCGCCTCAGGCCATTCCATGGTAGCTGCGACCATGAAAATCTCAGAATGTGCAGTTCTGATAAATAATTTCCAACGGGAATAGCAAATCGGTCGAATGTAGTCAATAAACATTGTTTCAAAGCTAAAGTAATATCGGTCTTGTGAGGGAGCTATACAACATAAAGAGTTTATTATTTACAATTTTATCACTTTAGACTCGATTTCAACCGCGGTAACGATCACTGAATATTGTAAAATCGCATATGCTTCCAAAATTTTCATTTGAACCGAATTCATGACCCCATACCAAAACTTTGTATTACCCTTAAGTCTTTAAATAATATGAACCTATGAATCCCATTAGAAATGAGGAAATAAACATCGTGCAGTACTTTTTAAATCGAACCGTAGGGCACATATTTTGCAGAGCAGTAGAATATATTTGCATAAATTCTGCACTTTATAAATGTATATCATTAAGATTATTTTCATTTCATAAAATATTTTAATCTTACTTCATCATCATCTCCTTCTATATCGGCCATACAGAGCTTCAAGAAAACCTCCTCCAAGGTCTGAAACAAAAAGCAACAAAAACAAAACTTTGTTTAATTGTAGACTTATGCACGAAAGAAAGAAATGGGTACAGATGTTGAGGAAAAAAATCAAAGAAATATGTTAATAATAAAGGAAAATATTTCTCATGAAAAAACAAACTCCTAGGAGTTGGCTGCACGAATGAATAAAAAAATATATATTCAGATCGTGCAGTCGATCCTAATACTACTACTGCAATTTTGAGTTCTTGTATAGCGCTCATATCTGTCAGACTTGACACTCCTGGCGCTCCCGACTATTGCCCTGGCTTTGTAGCGTGGCTGCTATTACGGCGCTCTAGTATTTCAAGGGAATTAATGCCTGCCAGGTACCCATTTACATCATCTGGGTTGAGTTTAGCAAATGCAGATCAATGTCTTGCCAAAAGACATTAGTGCCGCGGCGGGACTTGAACCGTGGACCTTGTGATCCACAGTCCGGTGACGTATCCAATCGACCACGGCACCTCTTAATACTTAATGTTTTCATGCTGGAATTGTTACCGGAAAATTATACGTCCTTATCAGGACTTGGGGGTCTTCCTCAGCCAGAAGTTTCCCGTTCCTCATCAGACCAACCTGTGGTAGGAAACAAAGATTGAAAGGTTACGTTTGCATTGTGTTTTTTTAATTTTCATTTCTGTCATATAAAAGAATATTCAATCAACAGGAGAATAACAACATTTATTTCCATATACATAAAACATTTCTTCTTCTTTCACTTAGGTGGCGCTAGCTGCACTGCTGTGGCCATCACAAGTTTATGCAATCCTTCTCCTCTGACAGCTTTTGCCCTGTTCAAACGTGAATGTCTCTCAACCAAAAAATAGCAGGTCTGCCCTAAATATACGTTTAACATAAGCAAAAAATAAATCATATGGCATTAAATTGAATAACAACAAAATGTAGAACGGGATAAAACAGACGACAATGTAGCCCATTTGCAGCTGCATAAGCGAGTTCGTAATTAGGATTTGCGCATATGCAGATAAAGGTCATTCGTTCCCAAATTGTAAAACCATTGAGACGAATACTCGTATCTTGCACATGAAAGTTATGTGATTAGTATTCATTTATGTACCGACGGTACATTTATCTGATCCACAGGTGGAAGTATTCTTCTCAAGAGGGCAAATAAAAGGTATTCATGAAGCACCCCCATCACTTCGACAGTGATTATTCTAAAATGCACAAGTGGGACGTATCCATAGTGTAAAAGATCTGTGGATATTTGGGGGTCATAGTCAGCTGGATTTTCATGGGACCAGAAGAAAAATGAGGAAGAAAGAGTAGTAGAAAAAGAAATGAAGAAGAAGAAGAAGATAATCTCATTTTCTCATTCAGTGTCATAACTTTTCATTTTTCTTGCTTTTTCTCCTCCGATATTGCAATGCGCAGTTGAATATATCCGTATATAGAAAATGAACGATATAAACTGACAGCTATAATCATTACCATTTATATAAGTTAGAGACAACGTATGGGCCAGAAGGGATTAGACCACACAGCGAGGTCACTGACAGGTGGCTATCTCATTAACTCAGCTTTCAACTAACATATGAAAAAGAGGATCACGGGGCACCAACAGGCACCGATTGGGGAAGTTTTCTATATAGAGGGAGCAAGTACCTACAGTGGGGCTTTAAAAGATTGATTAAGTTTTGTTCATACCACGTCAGCATTTCTGGCTTCCTCGATGTAATGTGTTGTAAGGATGATGGTTGTTTTTCCTGTCTGTGCAAACTGTAGGAGATAGTCCCAGATCCTGCAATCAACAACCATCATTCAGTGAGGTTTTATTTGCTATATATGACTTATTATATGAATCTTCAGGAGAAAACAAAGCGCCGATTAATATTTGTATTATAATTATTCTTCTCATTATGGGTATTATCATTATTATTATTATTCTCATTATTATTATCATCATCATCATCATCATCATCAATATTATAATATCAGCTTTATTCGAGCTATCATGATGAGACACGGTTAGGAACACTCAAGTGTTTTCCCTTGTATACGTATCAAAGCCGTAGGTTCCCTTGACTAGTGTTCCGTTAAATCTGCAACTCGTTTGCCCCTTTTCTGAGAAACGCATGGAAACCCTTGAAGGTGACTCATGGGGCGTTGCAAGAAAGTTGCAATCAATTGCAAATCCCCAAATCAAGCCTAAGTCTTGCGATTAATTGTAAATTTGCATTGAACGAACTTGCTTGCATTAGTAAGATAGAGAGAGAGAGAGAGAGAGAGAGAGAGAGAGAAACAGAGAGAGAGCGAGAGAGAGAGAGAGAGAGAGAGAGAGAGAGAGAGAGAGAGAGAGTGGGAATAATAGCTAGATCTAGTTGTTAAAACTTTAAAGGTAATACAAAGTTTTGGGGAAAATTGGATTTTTAGTAATTCTTTAAATTTCGATATATTTGGATGCCCCTGTGGATGTATTATAAGCACTAAAAAATGTAGCCCCTAAAACACTTCTCCTTTCGCGAAATAGAATAATCCAAATTTTACCGGTGCTCCCGGTGAATTTTAAATATTTCAAATGGCGCCTCAGGCCAATCCTTGCTAGCAGCAACCATGAAAATCTCAATATATGCAGTACTAATATATAGTTTCTAAACGGGAATATCAAATTGGTCGATCGTAGTCAAGAAACATTGTTTTAGAACTAAAGTAATATCAGTATTGAGGGCGCTATACAACATAAAGAGTTTATTACCTACATTTTTCTCTTTTTAGACTCGAGACTTTTAGACTTTCAACCGCGACAACGATTATTGAATATTGTAAAATCTCATATGCTTCCAATATGTTCATTTGAACCAAATTCATGACCTCATACCAAAATGTTGTAATACCTTTAATCCTAACAATATCTTAAGGAATTTACGAGACTAATTAGGCGTTGCAAGAAAGTTGAGTTGCAATCGCTTGCAAATAATCAGTTGCAAATTTTGCAAGATGCAATCAGTCGCAACTTCCCGTAAGTCTGCTTACTTCTGTCGGAGGAGTGGATCAACGCCCACCGTTGGCTCGTCTAAAATGAGAAGTTCAGGCGACTGGACCAAGGCTACTGCAAAGGACACCCTTCTCTTCTGGCCCCCACTAAAAATAAAATAATCACAAAGAAATGATCGCAAAAATCCACTGGACAATATTTTACAAAGTGTACCAAAAAAATCACATGATATCATACATTCGTAATCTTATTGTCAGAATCGAATTTGCAATCGTCGCCTGTCTTTAAATAGTTTTCTTTGCCACACGAAAATGGGTTTTATGTCTTTGGGGAAAAAAAGAGTATAATTGTCCAACCTTTTTGCACAACGACTTTTCAAAAGACAATTTCTGTCTAATTACATGCGTGATAAATCTGAAAACTCTGAAACAGAAGCGTGTGAGGTAATGTAAAAGATTCTTTTGTCTACTCATAACAAACCTGATTTATGATAATTATCATTGTTATAATTTTTTGTCTGATAGTTTATACGATTATTAATGGCATGCCTTTATATATATTGTATTAAACCTCAACTGCCCTTTTCAGCCTATCCTGCAGGTCTGTTTTCATGCGTCAATAAATAAAAATGAAATAGATTAATGAATCTACACAAGTGGAGAATTCCACATGATATCAACACTAAAATGTGGAATTTAAATCGACAATTTTGCGTGACTTTGGTAATTTACCTCAGTCAGAAGGGTCCTCCTACTATATTGTGGAATCTTTACAGTTGTCTTTCATTTGTATTGTATTTTATTTTACCTGAGATATGCTACCATTCTGTTCCTGAAGGGCAGATTGAGCAGATCCAGTAAGAAATCTACCCTAGCATTGGCATCCTTCCTGCTCATCTTGTGTAGTGTGGCGAAATAGATCAGCATTTCTTTGATTGTGAATTCCCCGTACAGGGCAAGATCCTGTGAAATGGAGGTAAAAATTAATGGTATTCAACTAGGAATAAGTACTCTCAATTTTCCCATGCAGCTAGATATAAGAATCATATGCAGTTCTGGAATTGGTTTTCGAAACAGGACGTTGGTGATATACATGAACTTTGCGTCGCCCATTGTAAGGCTATAAGTCTAGGACAAGGATATGATGGAGGTAATATGTGTATTGAGAAATAGGTTTCTGTCAAAATATTCAGCATCTTCAGATCATAATTATGTAGGGTTCGTACGTCTTTTAATAGGGTAGTATATGCAGTTAAAAGACTGATTTAGGCCTTTGAATTCCTAACTGATAATGGTAGTGCCTTCTCATTGTCTATCATGCCGTGACACCTCTAATGATCCAGCACAATTATTAAAATACCTGGGCCCTGTTTCTTAAAACGTGTTATTAATTACATATGATAAATTTATTTGACAAATTTGCCTCAGCCAATCGAAAGCCATCACTTTAGTAGACTATAATAGTTGTTGTTACTAGTTATTAATAATCTGTTATCATATTGGTCATATCGATATATGTACAATTTCATCACGTTCTTGTTATTGTTATGTACTTTAAAAAAGAAGAAGATATAATGTAGGGGGAAAAAGAACTTTACACTTTTAATTACCTGAGGCATGTAGCCAACCCGACTACCAGGGATACCATGGCCTCGAGTGAGTGGAGGTCGACCTAAGGTCAGGACCAAGCCTTGGTCTTTACCTAGCTGGCCCAAGCAACATCGTAGGAGTGTGGTCTTTCCGCATCCACTGGGCCCTAGCAGACCGTAGCTATAGCAACAGCAGAAGGTCATCAATAATGTATGATTAGAGAGCATTGTACCATCATTATCATCATTATCATCATTATCATCATTATCATTATCAGTATCATTATCACCATCATCATCATCATCATCACCATCATCGTCATCATCATCATCATTATCATTATCATTATCCTTATCACCATCATCATCATCATCATTATCATAATCATCATCATCATCATCATCATTATCATCATCATCATCATTA